AGAGACTCAGGAGGCAGAGACAGGAGAATTGCTTGAACCTGGGAGGCGGAGGTTGCAGTGAGCCGAGATCACCACTACACTCCATCCGGGTGCCTGGCGATGAAACAAGACTCTGTCTCAAAAACTTAAAAAATCATTGTATATATTTGTCTATATAGTAATCAATAGTTTTCAAATACATCTCATTTTTTTCTAAAGTCCCAGTTGGAGAATGCTTGTATAGTACAAATACTCCTATCTCCCAATTCCTACAAATCATAATTACTAAATTAATATTTCCTAGTTTCTTCTCCCTCTCTTAGTTTTGCTTGATATTATTTCATTCGCAATAATTTTCATGACTTCTAATTAGAGGAAGTGTTTATTCATCTAGTTAGTTACATATTATCTATCTCTCATCCCTATAGAGTCAATGGGAAATGCCTTGCAGAGGTCATGTCTCACAGTAGGAGCTTAAAATTGTTTTTCCTGATTGAATAAGTGTTCAGTAAAGGATTCTATTTCCTTATTGACCAATAAATGTTTTATACATTTGGTGAACAGTAACTCTTTGCCTACACAATTTATTACTAATATTATCTTGTTTTTCATGTTCCTTTATTTTTTATGATAGGTGTTTAAAACTATAAATAAGGTGTGCTATGATAGTTTAATGTTTTCCTTTTATTATTGTAATTTCTGATACATATTTAGCTATTTAGTCTATCTTTTAATGATTTGATACTGTACTTTTAGCTCTTTAATGGTCTGGGATGTGTTTTTAAGACATGATGTAATGAGGAATTTAATGTTATTTTTCTAACTAATCTATTTTCTCAAATTTTAATCTATTTCCTTCCATATCTCTTTATGATTTTAATTTATAACATAGTAATTAATGTATTTAATTGACGTACTTTTTTATACGTTAGCATTTGCTCCATTTATTTATCTGTTAGTACTCTCCTGTTTCAATTATTATTGCTTTATAAAAATTACATTTTATAACGTGTTCTAATATCCTCCAAAACAAGGCCTATCATTTTCTTTTTCCAATTTTTTTTCCACTCTTGCCTGATTTTTCTGTATATGAAACTTTGATACTTCACAGTCTGATCCGTAGCAGGTAAAGCAATCTTCTCCCACAGCACTGAATGATTCTCTGATATTTTGAACCAACTTCTTGATGACTCCTCTCTGGCTGAAACTCCATACTTACTTGGGATTTTACTCCATGAGTGCGTGACAGCATGTCCATTCCCCATCCATATTTCCTGCCTTTATGCTTTTGGAAATTTCAGGCTCCAAAACAATGTCTAAGCAGGTTATGATGGAACAAAATCCCAAAATCAATGGAGTGGAGTGGGTGTCATCTTCACTAGAAATGAAGATTCAATTCAAAGTGTAGAAAAATTACATTTCAAATTTTTTTAATTATCTATGTAGGTTGACATATACAGTTTTGCATGTACAATCTGTATAATAATATAGCTACATTGAAGTATGTGATAATGTAAATAATATGCTATAATAATCAGTACACTCATTTAAGGGCATGAGAATTATCAGTACTATTTAAATTCATATTTTCTCCCTCCTGCCTCCCTCTTCTGAGCCTGTTTATTTTAATGCATATCAATTGAATTTAAAGTTTCACTCTGTCTGCATGGTAGAGACAGGCTTTTTGCTGAGTTATTCTGTTTCTGGATCTCTGATTTAGAGGACAAACAATTGGAAATTATTTTTAAAGGCTTGATATCTTCTTTCAAGCCATGAGTTTGCTCTTTTGCGAACAACAAACCATATGTAAGACACAGAATTTTCATTCTCAATTTGACTCAATAGATCTTGCTTAATTTTTGTCCTGGCCTTTGACAGAAATTTTACTGTCAGTCTTGAATTTTAGTGTTGTAAATTTTCATAATCTTTGTGTACATGCATGTATGTGTGCACACATGTATCCACACACGCATGTGTGTGCCTTTGTCCTCATATGAGGAGAAATTGGAAAACACTGTATCTGAGGCTGCTACATAAAGAATACATTATTAGATGCTTCTAAGCTATCATTTCATCAAATTTTTTGAAGAATTATGTTTCAAATCTGTGTAAGGATTAACTTCCACATCTGGAATTTCTCAGCAGAGTTGTAGGGGTGAGTGTGATTATATGAATTATTATCCATTGTGACGGTCTTCGTTTCACTCCTATGTCTTCCTCTGTCTCTCATGCCAATTGCATTTGTCTCTCTGATACTAAATGCTCAATATAATTGGCTAATTCAACTTCTTATTTAGTAAGAAAGCAACAATTTCATCCCTGCCTCTTAAGCCATACTATTGATTTTTAAATCTGTCCTATGGGTGATTCGGAGGTTATGGTGCAGGAGAATGATATGGTCATGTTTGTGTTTTAGGGAGAAAACTGGCAACAGATTAGGGAGCTGAAGCCAAGAAAACAGTTGAGATAATTTGTTCTTGCCAGCTAAATGCAGAGCTTGTCTTCCACTGCTTTTTGCTTCTAGAAGAGAGTTAAGACAGAGGAGGAAATAGAAAGGAAGAAGGAAAGGAAGAAAGCTAAAAGAGGAGGGCAGAAAAAAACACGGAAGCAATTTATATAAATCAAAAGGAGGAGTGGGGAAATGAAGATTCCATTTTTCTGACCTCAAGATCCTGCTGGCAGCTCAAGCCTGGACACCAGGAGCTACCTACTGGATCCTGTCTCCTGGTTTTTGAGACCTTTCTCTCTTTTGCCTCTTGCATTTGATCTTGTCACTAAATCCTTGTTAATTTCATTTCATTTTATTCTATTCTATTCTACTTTTGAGACAGAGTCTCAATCTGTTGCCCAGGCTGGAGTGGAGTGGCACAATTTCAGTTCACTGCAACCTCTGCCTCCAGGTCCAAGGAATTTCCAGCTAAATTTTGTATTTTTAGTAGAGATAGCATTTCACCATGTCAGCCAGTCTAGTCTCAAACTCCTGACCTCAAGTGATCCAGCCTCAGCCTCCCAATGTGCTAGGAGTACAGGCACAAGCCACCATGTCTGGCCAATCCTTTTTAATTTTAAAAAGCCCATTTTTCATTACCCTCCCTACCATGAAGAGCAGCAGAACATTTAGCACATAATCAAGATCCTGGGGGGCTTTTAATTTCCCATCCCTCTTAAATGCTTCCCAGTGACGATTTTTCCAAAACTCTGTTTCTATCATTTCAAGCCTTGCTCAAAAGCTTAATTTGGAAGGTCAAAAGACAAAGTCTCAGAATAAATTTTAAGAATAGATTTTTAAGACTCCATCCAACCTATATCATGAGTACCTAGGGTCAATTTTCCTCATGTAAACCTCTGTGGAATCCTCGCTTTTTATTTTACACATATCAAAGTCCTTTAAATCCTTCAAAGTGTTAAAATGCAGCATAAATTTTATTTCCGGTTACACATTTTTGGTAGGTCTGTAACCGGGTTTTGGAGTGCCAGGGAGGCACAGCTCCCCAGAGAGAATGTTGTAGGTTCTTGGTCTCCCGAGCTCTCAAGAATGAGAGAGGGGAACACAGCAGGTGCACAGTATGCTCGTAAAGTAAATACCGACCCAAAAAGTGTTGCAGAAAAGTGACTTATTTAGGTAGAGAAAGAAAAAAAGGAGAAGAGAGAAAACTTCCATGAAGAGTATGTGGAAGGGGATCCAAACATGGAGTCCAAAGGGGTGTGGAAGAAGGGGACTTTTAACCTGGGAGGAACCTCCATCTTCTCCAAGACCCCTGGCCAATGAAAGGAGCTCCTTAGAACTTCCGCTGGAGTGATTGACTTTTGACTCTTTCCCACATGTGCAAAAATGAAAACAGAGACCTTAAATCTCCTGGATGGAGAGGCATGGGAGCGGGGCATGGCACTGGGAAGTTCTTGTCCTTAAACCTACATTCCCTTGTCGACCTGGAAAGAGAACACACTCCCTCAGGTAGGGACAGGTCACACTTCTTTGTTTCACACAAGGGCTTGAAATTTTACTGAGAAAGCCTTCCTTATTTCTCAACGCATATTACTGAATGTTTAGTAAGCGCATAAAAACAATCTAATGGTTCCCAAAAGAAATATAGTTAGTCCAACTACACCAATATTTACTGTGCCCCTAACGTATATAAGACATTGTGCTAAACACTGTCAGGATGTCAGTATTCAAGGATAAATATATCAGATGTTTGCTCTTGAGAACAAAAATTAACAAATGTATTCATTGGAAGACTATTTCCACTCAATTATATGATTAATAATTTGTGACTTCTCAAAAAGATTCTCTTCTTCCATGAAGTTTGTAAATTCCACAAGTAGATAAAATTGTGATAGACGTTAAATAAGTGTGTTTAATGGCACAGATTTCACTCTTAACAGCAAGAATCCAGGTTCAGAAGATACAGAAAAGTAATCAAGTCTTTAACATTGCACTATACATTTACTCTTGATGTATGTATTGCTAATTATTCTGTACTTATTAGAAGTGCCTTCCTCAAGGGGATAGAAGTTTAGGAAACAGTGATACATCCATCTTTCATATCATTCTTATTAAAACACCTGCACTGTACTAAGATTTCTCTACCATTAATTTTAAAGGGAAGCAAAAGTAATTTCTTCCCATTATTGCATGTGGAGGAAAGTTTAACAAATGAGGTCTTAATAGCAATACTAAGAAATGGAAAGCCATAAAAGATGACTGCCTGTAAGGCAATAGACAAGCTTGACAAAAATCCTCAACCAAATGTATGATTATGTTACCTCTGATTTTAAGACCAAGAACCATCTGCCCTCTGGGAATCTTAGCAAAAATTATTAGGAAATCAGTTGTAAGGAATCAATAGTTCCATTAGACAAGAAGCATAGTTTGCCAAAGTATGGGAATTTTATCCCAGAGGTATGTGAATATCACAGTGAAATGAAATGATTAAGCCTCATAAGAAAGCACAAGTACCCTATGTTATAGTCTTTGGCCAATGCTTTCTAATTCTTCTTTTTCGTATCTTTAAATACAGAATCCCCTTCACCTACAACTGAGTTTAGAAAATTCATTAAGTTCTGATGCTGATGTCACTGTCTCAATCCTGACCATGAACAACTGGTACAATTTTAGCTTGTTGCTGTGCCAGGAAGACTGGAACATCACTGACTTCCTCCTCCTTACCCAGAATAATTCCAAGTTCCACCTTGGTTCTATCATCAACATCACAGCTAGCCTCCCCTCCACCGAGGACCTCTTGAGCTTCCTACAGATCCAACTTGAGAGTATCAAGAACAGTACACCCACAGTGGTGATGTTTGGCTGCGACATGGAAAGTATCCGGCGGATTTTCGAAATTACAACCCAGTTTGGGGCAATGCCCCCCGAACTTCGTTGGGTGCTGGGAGATTCCCAGAATGTGGAGGAACTGAGGACAGAGGGTCTTCCCTTAGGTCTCATTGCTCATGGAAAAACAACACAGTCTGTCTTTGAGTACTACGTACAAGACGCTATGGAGCTGGTTGCAAGAGCTGTAGCCACAGCCACCATGATCCAGCCAGAACTCGCTCTCATTCCCAGCACGATGAACTGCATGGAGGTGGAAACTACAAATCTCACTTCAGGACAGTATTTATCAAGGTAGGATGCAAGGTCTGGGTTATATCCCGATTCATAGGGCTGTGACAGGAAGTAAAACTCCCCTATCTGTCCCCTTTTCAGAAATATTGACTCTGAGTAGCTTTAAACTTAAATACTATTTCTTAGAGGATTTCTGATTATAGAAGCTAGTATTTCCTGATCTACGATCTGTAATTTGATCTATAGACTTGTAAGTACATGGTATAGTGGAAGCGCTCAATCCTGCTCTTACACCTTGGTTTAGGTTCTTACTAGCTACTGTGTTCTTGGAAAGTTATTCGAAAGCTCCAAGCCTCAGTTTTCTAACTAGCAAAATAGAATAATGAATAGCTTGGTATAGTATAATAAATATACCATGAAATTATATATAAAAAGGACCTAATACCATGCTTAGCTCATAGTAGATGCAAAATAAATGTTTCTTCTCCTGTCCACTCTTTTCCATATTAAAACAATTGAACAAATTTCTCTAAATCTATATAAAGAAAAAAATTAGTCAAGGAAGAAATGGACTTTTCTCTCTCCTCCATGGCCTTCAGGTTTAAGGCAGCATAGAATAGTAAAGACAAAGCTCCTGAAGTCTGTGAAACTTGAAGTTTGGCTCTGCCACTTACTACACTCGAGTGACTACATCAAGTAACTTAACTTCTCTGAGCCTTAATTCCCTGTGTTGTACATTCATTTAAGAAAAATGGATATAATAGTAGATCTTCCCATCCTTAGAATCACTGTGATTGGTGAGAGAGAGAGAGAGAGAAAGAGAGAGAGAGAGAGAGAGAGAGAGAGATAGTAGACAAACAGGATAGATTAATAGAACTAAGAGTGCCATAAGAGTATTATACATATATATTTGTATAATATTATTTGTTTATACATTTGCAATTATATTTGTCTATTTTTAAATTAAATACATTTCTGCTTCAGTCCTTCAATATTATTCAGAAACTAGAATAAAAATGTCCATTTAAAATAGAGAATAATATGTCACATGGAAATGGTTTTGGTGATCCCCAGTAAAAGCAGAATATCCTTAAAGGATATTTCATAAGGGCTTAGATGTTATTCTTAAAAAAAGACCACCTACTATTAGAGTCAGAAGATTATTATTTCTTCAAAGATGAAGGTTTCTTTGTAGACTAGGCCCTGTTTTTAGGCTGTCCTGGAACAGTGGCATCTGACTATGTTGAGGACTACAAGGCAAACTCATAGCATCTTACTTTAAAAAAGACATGATAAAAGGTCAAGAAGTGTGAATAATTGTACACTTATATATATATATATATATATACACACACATACATATGCACATATATATATACACATACATATACACATATATGTATGTGTATATATAATTAAATGTACAATTAAATATGTATGCATATACATATACACATATATATGTATGTGTATATATATATATATAATTAAATGTACTATATATATGTGTGTGTGTGTGTGTGTGTATATATATATATATATATATAAATTGAGCACCTACTATGTACAAGGCAATATGCCAAATGCCATATGTAAGGGAAAAGTGAAAGACTGAGCACAACCAGTAAACTCCTTAAAGAATGTTAATAAAATAAAATTACTCAAATATATTTATTACAAATCTATTAATAAAATTAGATGTTCTATCATCATCTGAACTTTCCATTTTTCCCATATTATAATTTCCATAAGATTAAAATCTATGCATATTTTATTTTACAGCCACTCTCCAGATATAATCTATTGCATGCTGGCATATAATTAAAGTTCAGAATTTTATCTAAGACAAGAAACATTCTCCTTTACAGCAAACATACAAGCAAAGCTTTGATTTATAATTTCAAAAAGTCATTGTTTTGGAAGGACGGTGATAAACAGCAGCCAGGAAGAACCACTTACAAAAACTACCTTGAGTTGCTTAGCATCTTTCTGTCTCATGTAAAATGGAGAGTGCAAGAAAAATGATTCTGTTTGGATCCTAAAAATGCTTAGAAACTATAGAGAGGAATATTTGTTGACTTAAGTTATATATACCTTAGGGTCTCATTTACCAAGATCAAACCAATCTTTCTGGCTCCTCAAGATTTAATTTATATTAAAATTATGCTCTTCCTCCCACAAGGATTCCATGGCATTTTGTATGTAAAATTATACAATGGTACTTGGTCCATTCTATTATCATTATGTGTCTATGTGTCAGACTGCTGAGCTAGAATATAAATTCTATTAAGTGGAGACGTTGTTATTCATCCTTGTCCAATGCCTAGCATATAGTAGGCTCTAAACAGATATTTATTGAAATTGACATAGAAAGAAGGAGAGGTAACTTTCTGTTATATTTACATCCTACATCATCTGTTGCTATAGAAGAAAATGGGTGGTTGGTAGATATTGTCTCAATTAAATAAGTACTTGTTTAAATTTACATAGATACTTACTGGATGATTTCTGTTTGGTTTTCTTTCTCTCGCTCGCTTGCCCACTCTCACTATTGCTCTCTCTGTCTCTGTCTCTGTCTCTCTCTTTCTCTCTCTCTTTCTCTCCTTCTCTCTCTCTCTCTCTCTCTCTCTCTCTCCTTATGGTGGCATGTAAGATTAGTTGTTTACTTCACAAACTTTGAAAGCTGTAAAAGAAGATTGTGAGGTTTGAAGCCCAGCAGTAATTTACAACGGGTCAGTTACAATATTTTCATCATGATGAATGTGTTTGAGAAATGGACCCAAAGAACTTCAGGAAGTGTGCCTAAGACTTTTTAAACTCCTGAGGGATACAGGCAAAGAGAAAGTTTGAAAAGTATTCAGGAATGAGTCAAGGGAAATGAGCAAAAGCCGGCAAGGAGCCTTTATAATGAGTAACTGAAAAGCTGCCTTAAGCCATAAAACATCTGTGGATTTTCCAACATCTTTATTTATTTTGTTTAATACAGTCTTTTAGAAAGTTATTCTCAGTCCATAAGTCACATCTGCATATAGTAATTTTCTTAATTGTTCTTAAATTTTGTAAGGCTGACCCCACTTCTTCACTGCGAAATGAAAGTCGGGAAGATAATGAGCCATGGATAGTGAATGTCAGAGTTACACAAGTTTTCATTTCTTACACAGTCATTTTCAGTTTGGGCTGACAGAACTGTCAACATCTTAAAATGTTAATGAAATCACCAAAAACATGGCATTTTCAGCTCGGCTTTTAGATGAGAAAAGTCATTTCTCATGGCAGACTACATACACATAATTACAGGTATTAGAGATTTCATTCTTCGTAGGTCCCCACATGCCGGAGTGAATGTCCATCATAGCTAAATGTAGACAAAACATTCGGGGACCAAGTTCATGGCATAATCTTCAACAATATACTCACAAGTTGTTTTTTTAATGTTAATTACTTGGAGCAGTTATTAGTGGAATAGTATTTTGAGAATACCTTTAGAAGTGTGTATGAATGGATGTTTTTGCCCAGCCAATGACCAAAGGTGAGGTAGACAAAATGAAGACTTGAATCCTGATGTGTGGGAGCTCACAGTCTAGTGCAAGAGGTCAAAATGTAAGTAAATGGTTATAAAACAATGAGACGTTTGATTTATAAGAATATATTCAGCTGTGCAGAGGGAAATAATTAACTCTTCTCAGAGATTTGGTGATGAGGGGGAAAATGCTGGAATTAGATCCTGTAAATGAATAGGGGTTTTCAGGTTTGGAACAAATTCACAGACAGAGAAAACTGCATATACAAATTCACCAAGACCTGAAAGATAAATTTAGCACAGCTGGAGCATTAATTGCATATGAAAAGGATTCAAGATGATTCCGAAAAAGTAGTCAATTTGATAACATGCCACACAGAGCTTTCATGCCAACCTAAGACATTTGCATTTTATATCCAGAGCGGATGTCAGCTGAATGGCAGAACATCAGTCATTACATATTTATAAAAAAATCATAATCCTATAACAAATTAACCAAATGAAGTAATACAGTATAAAAGCCTTGCAAGGAATTTTTTTAAAAACATTAAGATATAAACATTGTTTTTATTTCTTAAAATTGGTTTCAGCCTTGTCCACATTTATTCCCTTGCTGCATTCCGAACATTGGACTCTGGGGAAAGTGAATAGGAGTTTGAGAATTTACCTGCTGTTCCCAGGATTATTATTTGCCCATGCTTGCCTAAAGGCCCTAAGTGCTAATAAATTCATTGTTCCTGCAGAGAATGCTCCATGCATTGGTCATAATCTAGCCCAGGGCATTTATCTTTAAGAATTCCAAGACAAGGACACTGACAGACACCTTGTTCCTCTTGGCCTGAGAAGTCCCTGACCCTTTGGCTATTTAGTCATAGTCCTTATAGTTTATGCTAGCTTCTAATTGGACTGTAGAATCCTGCCTTTCTCCTTTGAACAGCTTCTGCAGTTCTGTTCTGTATCCCGTGAGAATTGAATCAAGTAGGCAGTGGTTAATTCATTCCTTGTTCAAATATATTTGTTGAAATTTACTAATATGAGGTCAAGTCCTTGTCTGGAGACACAAGGAATAGAAGACAGAAGGCTGTGCTGTCAGAAAGCTAGCAACGCTCTTCTGTTCTTCCATCAGGAGAAGACATACTCATCTAACTGTTCATAGCTGTATCCATTTTCCTTAACCTGGTTGTTTGGTTATTATTCTTCATTGGGATAACACCCTTGATACCAGTGATTATACTCTGCTGGTGCTGGCATTTCTAGCCCTCCCTCCTCAGTTGACCCTGAATTATGATTCAATGCACTAGAGGCTCTTTTTCCCCCAAACTATGTTTATCTTTAAGCTTATATGGTCAAGCAATATCAGTATTCACTGGCCTTTTATTAATAGTAAATGTTTTAATTATTGATTCTGCATGTATTATTAAGAGCCTATTACGTGCCAAGTATTGTGAAGAATTAGAAAATCTTCAAAAAAAATGAATCAAACAAATGTCCATTCAGAAAACCCAGCATATAAATTGATAATCATCACAATTTATTCCTG